ACTAAAACCAAAGCTAAACAATAACCAAATGACTAAGGGCTGACCAAGGTGTAAGGAATCAAGGCCTCACCCAGGATGCCCACTTGCCCCACTAATGTGTGACCACCTCATCTTGGCGTCCCAGCAACCAGCAGTGAGTGAAGACCATCCACACCCCATACCCACAGTCCTGCCTGTGCCAGGAGCCCATCTGGTTCTGAGCAGCATTTACTTTCTGGGCACATTTCATCATTCAAGTCACTACTACCTGCCATGGTCCCCAGAGGGACAGAATGCTGCCTTTCTATCCGCCACCTCCTGTCTTGTAGTACAGTGGCTGAGTCCAGCTTCTCTCACTGCTAATGCCTCAGCAGATTCTAGCAGCTGCTTTGTGCTCTGTCTACACAAAGGGGGTTAGAGCTGTGACTGGCCCTTATATTTCACAGCCAAGGCCTATGAATGACTCTGGCATTTCAATTCACCCAATACCTTACAGCTGACACTTGAACAAGGGGCACCAATCCCCTGCACAATCAAAACCCCACATTTAACTTTTGACTCCCCCCAAATTGAACTACTAACAGCTTACTGATGACTGTAACCCTTACCAATAACATACACAGTCAGTTAACACATATTTTGTATCTTATATGTATATAAAAGGTCGGACAATTAAGTTCGTGAACTCATCCTAGAAAAAGTGCTACATACCTCATTGTTGAATATTACTATGGTCACCTTCGAAGTACTCCCCTTGGGAAGCTATGCACTGATGCCAGCTTCTAGTCCACCCTTGAAAGCAATTTTGGAAACCTTTTTCTGGAATGGCCATCAGAGCTGTCATTGCATTACCCTTGATGTCCTGAATGTCCTCAAAATGTCTTTCAGTATTTCCTTTATCTTTTTGTAACGAAAGAAGTCATTGGGGCCAGATCAGGTGAGTAGGGAGGGTGTTCCAATACAGTTATTTGCTGACTAAAAACTCCCTCACAGACAGTGCCATGTGAGCTGGTGCATTGTCGTGATGCAAGAACCATGAATTGTTGGCGACAAGTTCAGGTTGTCTAACTTTTTCAAGCAGCCTTTTCAGCCTTTTGAAATAGTAAACTTGGTTAACTGTCCAGTTGGTACAAATTCATAATGAATAATCCCTCTGATATCAAAAAAAGGTTAGCAATATCATTGCAACAAGTTTATGAACTTAATTGTCAGACCTCTTATACTGTATTCTTACAATAATGTAAGCTAGAAAAGAATATATTAAAATCATAAGAGAAAGGATGTTTACAGTACTGTACTGTACTTATCAATACTGTAAGTTCACATGTCTGTTTATAAGATGAATCATCTGTCAGTACCTACATCATATTGTCTTATATGATACAAAACACTGTAGATGTTGCATGTATTACTAACACTAGACATTGAAAATTAAAAGATAATATGAAAATATTTCATATTTATTTACAGGTATAATTATTCATGCACTGATGAAGAAGCAGAGGTATGATTTCTTTGTGCTAGCCTAGCGTAATTGAAACAATTGCTGAATTCACAATAGCCTCGCCTATACACTTGTGAGTGAATCATTATACAATTTTTATGGCATGCAGTATTACAGTTTTATTCATAATATGGTATTGAAAATGTTATATATTTTTTCAGAAACTTACCTGTGATGATAGGCTGGTACCTAGTTTCTCAAATGATGAGAGAGAGGCATACTGCATGGTAATGTAATTCTTTGAAAGCAAAGTTATAAAACAGTAAGAAAACAAACACATTATTGATTTCATATTAAATATCACTCTCCTTGTGCCTATGTAAGGAGAGGCTTTCCACTTTGGAACAAGTCTTGCTGCAGTGTTCTACATGATGAAAACCTAGGCGATGATGATGATGGTGATGATGACACAAAAACATCTCATACAGTTCTTGCCGTTCAGTCATTCGATTTTCCCACAAAGGCACGCACACATACACAGAGGATGAGTTTCTGAAGTGTAGGGCATGACGATTATTTCCTATTCATGAAGTGGAAGTGGGTCATCGTAAAGGTTCCCAGCCTTGTTTTCCACACATTGACGAGGAGGAGGGTTGGTCTTGCTGTTTGGGCAGTGTCAGAGGTGGAGAAGGTGGAAGGGAGACAGGGGAGGCAGACACACTGGTGTAATCTGTTGGAACTGCATCATAATTTATGTCTGACTTTTTTTGCTATTTCATTTCTCTAAAAATGTTTCTGTATGGTACAAACCTTTCTTCCACCATTTGATTGGTTTCAATGCCCATATCATAGAAGGGTCCATGCAGTCAAAGATGTCAGAAGTGGTCCTGAATAATCAGAATCCTTTTGGCCGATGGTCTAACATCAATTTGTTTTCTGGCACTACATCTTCCTCATTGTCGGGCACGGGCTTGGAAGCACTCATGCCCATCAAGCCACCTTCTGTTAATTCCTCTGGCGTGGTGACTATTAGCTCTTGAATTTCTCCAAGATCCATGTCTCGAGACCCTTCATCCCCACTTTTTTTTTTTCCTGCCATATCCACAATCTCTTTCAAGATTTCCAGGATTGGCATCCTGGGAAGGCATGCACAACACCTAGACACAATGTTCTCCAGCAGGAATTCATTGTTTTGGGCTCAGTATAGCAATGGTGTAACCTTCAATGGTATAATCTTTCCAGACTTTCATGATGTAACATTTGTGTTAAGATTGAAGGTTTGGAGAACAAAACTTGTGGATAGGTGTCATGAGGAAGGGCTTTCCAGGTGGAAGGAACTGTGACGGTGAAGCACCTGGTGCTGGAGCTTTCTAATGCTTGGAGGAGCAGCAAGGAGGCCAGCCAGAGAGGTGACATCAGAGTGGTCACCTGGGACAATTGTACAGGACACTGTGAACCACAGCAATGATTTTGGCTTTTACTTGGAACAAAATGTGAAGCTGCTGGAGGGTTGGGAGCAGAGGACAGACAAAATTTACCTTACATTGGATAGAATCTGTGTATCTACAGTGTGATATGTATACTGAATGTGGGGTGAGGGGCAGTATGAAAGCAGGGGGCCCATTTACAATGCAATATTTATGCAGAAGACGATACTGGCTTGACTAGGGTGGTAACAGTGGAGTGGAGACAAGTGGTGGGACTTTGGATCTATTTTGAGAGAGCAGCTGGCAGTGTTTCCTTACAGATTGGGAACAGGTGTAGGCATGAGAAAGGGAGGAGTCAAGAGTGTTGGAGGGCTTGGGCCTGAGTTACTGGAAGAGCTCTTATGGATCAATTACAAAATGATGAATAACTCAATGGAAATACGGGCCGCTATATAATTGAACTTAACCAAAAAGTGATTTTTCTAAAGCAGTATTTTTTGAGTAAATCTTATGTTGAAGGAAAGGGCACACATCGTAAGTATACAGCTGGATGGATTTTTCACAAAGTGAACAAAACATATTTATGTAACGAGCACTGAGATCAAGAGTCAGAACATTACCTGCCTCACGAAATACCCCCTCCCCGAAGTAACTATTTTAAAAATTAACTCTGTATTCATGTTAAACCTTTTCTGCATAGCAAATGATGTAGAGCAAGGGACCACAGAGTAGGGGATGTCTTCAGAAATAAGGAGACTAGGAGCTGAGAAACTCCTGCCACCGTGTGACAGAATATTAGTCATCTACCTGATCTCATGAAATTCCTACTGAAAAGTTCTTTCCTAATGATACAACATGAGATGGACAGAAGGTAAAAAAAATAGATACATTTTCTACATAGATCTCAAAAGTAGAAAGTTCGTAGAAGTTGTTTTTTTAAAAAAGAGAGCCCTGAGTTGACAAAAAAATGAACTTTAAAACAGTGAAAAGGGAAGTTGAACGTACTAAGGTTCAATGATCTGTACTTTTAAAGTAAAATATTCATGATGTAGAAAGCTTGGTAAAGGTAAGGGTTAGAATAAGAGGATTTAGATGCTGAGTCTGAAAACGACTTGGAATATAGAAACTGTAGTTATGGTTTTCTCAGAAGTTATGGTTTTTCTCAGAAGTTACATATACAAAACTATATGAGCCAAAATGGGTGTGTGAGGGACTGGGGATAGAAGGGCAGAGAGAAATGAGAAATGAAATGAAGTTTGAGCCCTCACCCCCCCCCAACCCCCCAAAAAAACCTATGGAAATGAAAACCCTACTAAGACCCTTTCAATGATTCGCAGAAAGCTGCTGGGTGAGACTGTGAATTATAGCCAATGAAAAATTCCATCAATATGTATTGAAACTAGTCTACCTAGAAAGATACTATACTGGCTGTTAATATACCTGATATTCTTCCCATCATCTTTCTTCATTTTATAAGCTGCAGTTTTATCATTTTGAGTCAAGCCCATGTGTTTTGAAGTCAGTTAACAGGCTAAAACCAGAAAGCAGAGAGATCAGATATATAACTTGATAAATTATCTAGATATTTTTCTCTTTTTTTATTAGTTTCAAGTGTACAAAACAATGTAATAGACATTTACACCCCTCACAGAACCCCCCACCCCCAGTCTACTACCCCTCTGACATCGAATATAGCTGCTATAATTTTATTGACTATTCCCTATGCTGTACTCCACATCCCGTGTTAGATATTTCATCTTTAAAAGGCCAATCTAAAAAGATAAGCTTAGAGTCCTCTCGAAAAGGTTCTTGAAAATAGGTCTCGAGAAAAGGTAAATTCTAAACACCTGATGATCATGTGGCTTTTAAGAATCACCCAAACAAGAGACTTATTGTATAGAATGTTTTTATTCAGAAAAGCTTTCAACAGTTCTTTTTTGGTTTCTTTTACCTATTAACTCTAAGTAACAGTTGTGGCTACATGTTTATGTACCTTTTTATTGCAAAAGCATCAGTGCCATCAGCTATTTTAGATTTCTTCCACTGATGTCTACTAAATCTTTCTGTTGCGTTCATGAGGTGTATACGTTTTATTAATATTCTAATTATCATCACAAGTACTTATAGGTACATCTTCTTTCTGACACTAGGCTGAATGGTCTTTATATGTCATGGTGGCAAGAACAGTTTTGTTTGCTGTTGGATTCCAGCAACCATTCGTGTCTGGCACCCAGTTGGTACGTAATCAATATTTGTTGAATAAGTGACTATCAGACTTATGGAGGCTGCCAAGCACTGGTGAGAACCAACCATGACAATACCCCAAGGTTGATCTTTGTTTTCCTTAGTAGTCTTCTGATGTTGACACCACCCTCCCACAGCATTCTATCACAAGGCCTATCAGATGACTGGGAAACATGGAGGCTTACATTACTCATGCCGTGTCTGCCAAGTGTGCTAATGCCACACCCAACAATACACCTGGCTCCACCTCAAATACTCCTATGTTACTGCAGACACTAATGATGTGAGTGGGATTGTAAATGAATATGTTCTTCAAGTTTTTGAAATATGAAGTATTTCATTGTAATCATATTCATACATTTTTCATTGAATTTCAGATATCTGTCTTTGAAAATGTTATATGATAGTCACATGACTTCTTCAAAACATAAAAGACATGGATGGCACCCTGCCTCCTCTGAAACCATCTCTATAAATGATCAAAGATTTTTTTTTAAGAAAGAGAAAAAGCCAAAATCATATAATAAGTATTTCTAACGTTCTGATTCCTCCCATCCCCTGTTTCCTAAATATTCATCAAAAAAGGAAGGGGACAGTGTCAATATTTGTTACAGTGTCCTCATGTTACAAAGATTTTATGTGTGGTATCTAGTTTAATTTTTGCAACAACACTTGCATGTAGGTATTACCCTAATTTGCACACAAGACTACGGGAAATGAAGTGAATTGTCCAAGGGCACATGACTAGTGAGTATCAGAGCTAGGGTTTGCATCTGCCTGTTTGATTCTAAAACCTGTGCTGTATCCCCAACATCTTAATGTGATAAGTGCACACTAGAATTCACACAGCTCTAATGGAGATCTCAAGTCAGTTTAACCATCTTCTTTTCTCACTTGTATTTTATGTATTTTATTTTTTTTAAAGATTTTATTGGGGAGTTGGGGGTGGGAAACAGCATTGGGGAGTCATGGAAGGGGAACAGACAAGTTGCTCTCCTTTTGTTCTTCAGTCTAGTGTGGAGGACTCCACTTCACTGGCCCATGTTGATATTGTGATCATTGCACTCTTCCCGGCTGAGGCAGATTGGTTGTCGGCCATTGGACGGCCGCTCACAGAGGCTCATGGCAGCTCACGCCGGCTGCTGGCTGTTCACGCTGGCTACTGGCCTCTCACGGTAGCTTACGGCAGCCCACTGCAGCCCCACTGCAGCCTACGCTGTTGCCAGTGAGTGACTCAAGGCAGCCCAGCTCCAGGTTGAGCTATTGTTCACCATCTTAGCTGTAGAGGGTGCAGTGTCACTGGCCCATGTGGGAACCAAACCAGCGGCCTGCTGCTCAGAGCTCGCGCTCCCCAGCCAACTCTTAACCGACTGAGCCACTCAGCCGGCCCTCTCACTTATATTTTAATTACTGTGCTGTCGTCAGGCTTTTTAATGGGTAGAACTGAGTGTTGGGAGATGCCACTAAAGGGACTTTTCAAAAAGGGAATTGACAACATGTAGCTAAAAACTAGATAAGTGTTTAAGTATCCATTTTCCTTCAGTTTCACAGCTTATTTAGTTCCAAAAGGCAGAATTATTGAAATAAGCTTTTCACTGTGTAGAAATGTTCTCTCAATAAAAAATGCCCTTCCTTTTGAAAATATTTTTGTTGGAGCAACACAGAAATATACCACAGAAGCCCATTTGAACAAATTACTTGAGTCAGCAACTTCATACAGACACTGAAAGATTCATGAATTTGGGTAAACACTCCTCAAGGAGAACTAACATTTCAGGGTTCCAGCCCAGTTTGGGGGTAGGGGATTAGATACAGTTTCATTGTCTATTACTTCATATGATGCAGATTAAGAAATAGTAACATTATGTAATATGATGTTTGCTTCTAAGTATTTCCTGGAAGGGGCAGTGCAGGAAGAGAATAGTAAAGTTGTAGATAGGGAACATTTTATGAAAAATCAATTCTAACCGAGATGGATCATAACTGGTGAAAAATACATGCATAGATAGGTTTTTATACCCTAAACTGCAAAAATTGGGAGCCTTTATAAATATATGCATTTTTATATATACACATACTTTTACACACTATGTAGTATACTCATTTACATTTATTCACATGTAAATATAAAACTGGTGAGATTTTTATTAGGTTTATTTTCAGAAAATAATAGTCCACAAAAAGCACTGAAGATGAGCTGTAACTGTCTTAATTATTTGAAGGATTTTTTAACCCCTATAGTCATCAGACATTTACAATTAAATATATTTTGGTATAATATTTTCTTCTATAAAAGCACAATATAAGAAAGACTTTTTTAGTCCAACAATTGCAATGTTTTATGAAAAATAACTCAATTTATGTTTGTTATATAAATTGCATTATTTTTTACTCATATTAAGGACTCAATATCTTTATTTAATTGAAATATAATCTTGTATTTTGTCACTGTTGTACACAAATTGCAATCCTTTTTATTCTAATAAGATCCACTAAGTCTAAAGCAGTGTTTAGAATGAACTCTATGTATTACATGAATTACCTTTATCAGATACAGGGATTTATTTTAAATAAATTAAATTTGGAAACTTCAAGACATTCAGTTTTACTTTTTATTTTTTTACCTTCTGGAAAAGGGAAATGAAAAAATCTTATCTTTTATTGAATACCTGTTATTTGCTGTCCCAAGCAACTTGATAAATATTATCAAATTCGTAACACTTCATATACCAGCAGATGGCGCTGCTATAACCCGATCCCATTAAAACCAGGACAGCTTGATTTATCTTAAAAGTCATTTCTATGGACTTTTGATTACAAAGACTAGACTTCCAAATAGTTATTAGCTGTGTTGTTAATTTGAAATAAAAATCATATCTGAGAATCATGGATTTTAGAATGGTGTCTAAATAACTGTCGGTGACTTGAATTTTCTTTGTACAACCCCGCCAGGTGTTCTAAGAGGTTCATATTCTTTGCTCCAGCAGGGAATTCAGCACATCCTGAGATAGCCATCCTATCTATGAGCTACTTTGGCTCTAAGAAAGCTCTAACATAGAGAAAGAATCTTTTTCTAGAATCTATATACTGGTTCTGAATTTATCCCTTAAGGTCATTCAGAAACAACCCATTTTTTATTCAACAAGTGTTCACTGAGCATATTAGCCTCCTAGGGTTGCCATAGCAAAGTACCACAGACTGGATTGCTTATAACAGTAGGTGTTTATTCTCTTCTAGTTCTGGAGGCTCAAAGTCCAAAACCAAGCTGTTGGCAGGACCATCCTGTCTCTGATGGCTCTGGGAGACAATCTCTCCCATGCCCTTCTCTTAGCTCCTAGTGTTGCCAGCAAACGCTGGCATCCCTCAGCTTGTATATGCATCTCTTCTCTGCCCTGTCACCACATGGTATTTCCCTGTGTATCTGTGTCTGACTTCTCTTCTGATAAGGACACCAGTCATACTGGCTTAGGCTCACCCTAATGATATCATCCTAACTTCATTACTTCTTTAAAGATTTCATTTCCAGATATTACTGCATTCAGAAATACCGTGGGTTCCCTGGGTTAGGATTTCTGCATATCTTTTGGGGGACATAATTCAAATCATGACACTGAGCATCTACTCTATTCCAGGGTTTTATATTAGTAACTGAAGATTAAAACGGGGAACATAAATATGAAATAACTACACTTTGAAGGATCTTGGTCTAGTGGAAAAACAAGTCCATAAAGAATTAAGACATGTTCAAGAAAAAAAGTGCTATAGAAATATAGAGGAAAAAGCAACCTACTCTGATCAGGCAGCTGGAGCGAGGCTTCATGAAGGAGCTTACATTCTAGTGGGTGTTTTTCTAGTTTCTGCTTGATCATAAAACAAATCCACATTTAGTGTAGATCATTGGAAAATGTGAAGAACTTAAAATGAACAAAAATGATATAATAAACTTTCACCTAAGGATAACAATAGTTACTATTTTAGTGAACATTTTCAAATACTTTCCCTATGCATACATAAAAACTTTCATACAGTGCCAGCCGAGTGGTGCATTGGTTAAGAGTTGGCTTGGGAGCGCGAGCTCTGAGCAGCAGTGCCCCGGCTGGGATCCCACATTAGGGCCAGTGACTCTGCGCCCTCTACAGCTAAGATGGTGAACAGCAGCTCGACCTGGAGCTGGGCTACTGTGAGTCGCCGGCAATGGAGTGGGGCTGCAGTGGGCTGCTGTAAGCTACTGTGAGCGGCTGGCAGTTGGTGAGAGCTGCCATAAGCTGCTGTGAGCGGCTGTCCAATGTCTGGCAAGCGACTGCCTCAGCCGGGAAGAGCGCAATGATCACAATACCAACATAGGCCAGTGAAGCGACATCCTCCACAACTAGACTGAAAACAAAAAAAGTACAGCAACTTGTCTGTTCCCCTTTCCCGATTCCCCAACGCTGTTCCCCTCCCCCAATTGCCCAATGGAAAAAAAACTAAAAAAAACCAACAAACTTTCATACAAAAGCAGCTAAGTTTGGTATAATGTTCTTCTGTAAACTTTTTTTTCATTTAATAGGACCATAGACATATTTTTTCGCTTCATAAGGTATACTTCTAAAATGTTGTTTTAGTTATATAATAGTTCATTTTGCAAATGGATCACATTTTTAAACTATGTTTACAGAACTGTAAATATTTAAAAAAATTTTATTCTTAAAGTAATGATATGATCCCATCATCATAAGACGCATTTTCCATGTACTATTGATTAGTTCCTATTGATAAACTTCTAGGAGTTAAATGATTAGATAAAATAATTTTAAAGTATTTAGAAAAATATTGTCAAATGGCCCTCTAGAAAAAAATTAATTTCCACTTTCATGAACAGAGAACATATTTCTTGTCACCAACATTGTGATTCTTTTAAAATTTGGACATTTGATTGGTGAAAATTTACATCTCGATTTAAATTTACATCTCGATTTAATTTTCACATCTTTGGTTCTACTGAGGAAAAAAAAATTTGTATATCTATTGATCATTTTGTATTTCTGCTTTAGTGAATTTTCCAAAAGATAAGCTCCATGAAAGTAAATACATATTTCTCATTTTACTACTATATCCTAGTTCCTATTACAGTAATGTACATAAGAATAGTTACTCAGTACAAATTCATTGTATACATTCAGGCATTACTTAGTTTCTTCTTTTCATGTTGTTTTTCAGTGTATTTATATTTTTCTTCTTTTTTTAAAAGATTTTATTGGGGAATTGGGGAAGGGGAACAGCCAAGTTGTTGTCCTTCCATCTTAGTTGTGGAGGCGCAGATAGCTCAGCTCCAAGTCCAGTCACCATCCAGCCGCCCGTTGGCAGCTCAGGGCAGCTCAGCTCGAGGTGCCGTGTTCAATCTTAGTTGGGGAGGTGGCGGGTGCAGCCCATCATTCCATGAGGAGTCGAACCGGCAGCCTTGTTAGGAGCACGTGCCTCACCAGCTGAGCCATCCTGCCATCTGTTGACAGCTCAGCGGCAGCTCAGGTTGGGTGCAGCTCACTGGCCCATGTGGGATTCGAACTGGCGACCCTTTTTGCTAACCAACTGAGCCACTTGGCTGGCCCTGCATTTTTCTTATTGAATGGTATGTGTTCTGTGTATTTTAAATATGTTTAGGTTCCCAATTTATATTGGGAGTGTTTTTTCCACATTGTTGCTTGCCATTTAGTTATGTTTAAAATGTTTTTAGTTCATTACAATTTTTTGTTCCTATTTCTGTATAGTAAATCAAGTAATATTTTCCTTATGTATTGTGTCTTTAGTATTTGCTGAATAAGGCTTTCTCCATTCCAAGATTATGTAACTGTCCATCAGTAGTTACAGGAAGTAATTCAGAATGTATGGTCAGACCCAATTTTCTCTCAAATTCTTAATATTGTTGTAGAAGTATTTCCCAAATGATTTAAAATTCCAAGTTTGTTATATAAAAGTGATAATGGAAAATTACAACAATAATAATCCTAAAGCTAGAAATTATTATGTTAATAATTTAATATGCATTATATTACCTAAAAATCACATCAACCCTATCATCTTTGTTATTATCATCATCATCATTTCTTCTTTACAATTGGGAAACCTGGGGCTAAGAGAAGTTCATAAAACTCTTATGTATTTGAGTTTGTTTTTGAAATAGTGCTTTCTGATTGTTATTGCAATTTTGAAACATGCTGTTTTAATTATTATAGCTTTATCATTTTCACATCAGGTAAATAAATGGAACAGCTTTCTGAATCTAGGTTTCTGCTTCATATATCCTCCATACACAATTTAGTCTTGTCTTCATCCCTCACGTTTGTGCTCACTTGTGTCTTTGTAATTGTAATAGCTTAAGGACTGCGAGATCCAATCACAGATATTTTTTAATATTGTTTAGCCCTCATAACAAAAAAGATACTTGGAGGTCTGTTGCTCATGTGTCCAAAAGGAACAACTTGACCCTTCTCTATTTCCTGAGATATCAGCTACCTTTCAGTGAGGACTGGCAGGTTGTTTCTGGAGTCTTTTCTGTACCTGGACCCACCTATGCTCATATAGCAGACACTAGATTTTCTGGTATTTATAAAGGATTCATCCTTATTTTGCAAAGCTGACAGTTTTTTCTATTTGTGTATTCTTTTGGTCATTTAAATAAGGATGGTTATAGAATAGGAAGTTAGATGTTTACCTAGAAATTCACAATGATCTTTAAAGGATGAGTAAATGTCCACGAGGCAGAAAAGACGAGTAAGGCATTCTAGGTAGGAAAATTATATGTGGAAAATGTAGAAGAAAAAGAAATTGTCTGGAACTGGTGTGGTGGCAAATAGAAAGACATAAGGTTGGAAAGGCAGTTTGAAATCAAATTGTGCAAAATTTGGTATGCCAAACTGAAATGTATGGGTTCTTCAAGAAACCAGGAGCCATCGAAATCTATTCTTTCTACTGATAACCATCCTTCCAACACATGACATAGCTGACATATTCCTCTTGAGATTGTCTTCTGCAAACTAATATGCTTAGGTTTTTCCTTTTCTCTTCATATAATATGGTTACATTTTATCATTTATTTTGTTCTTCTATGAATATACTTTAGTTTATATGTGACAGTTATTAAATATACATTATTTAGTTTTCTTTTGCATTTTTAAAATGCTGCTTTCACATGTATAATCCCAGGGAAACACAGGCTTTATCATTCCTTCTTTTTTATTTTCTCTCCTTCCACCACACACACATCTCCCAGAACTCACAAAATACCACAGTTGTCTTATTAACTGAGTAAACATTTTATTAGTTATTGTTGGGTGAATAAAGTGATTATCTGCTAGTATTAACAATGCATTTGTATTTGGTAGCGATGCTGCAAATCTCTTGTTCTCTCTCCTTCTCTCCAACAGAATATCAGCATGTGTGTTGTTTCCGTGTCTGAGAGGAAGCACTGCTCTAAGATCCGATTAGGAGACAGCCAAGCTGGGGCTGCCTATGAGATGTTAGCTTCTAGACTCCAAAGGTAGTTTTCACCGGAATGCAAAAGGATAACTTATTTGGAAACTTTTAATATTGTATTCCTCTGTTTTCATAACGCTGGTCTTATAGTAGGGAAAAACCATGGATGCCATTTTAACCAAAATAGAAAAAAAAAACAGAGTGTTTCCTACTTGTGACGTCTCTTAAGTTGTCTCCAGCCATGCTGAGGATCTTTGATGAGTAACTTTAATGGTGTTATCATTAGCTTGGAATGCCATGTAACAACCAATGTACCAACTTAAGTAGGAAAAAAACCAAAACCAAACAATGACTGCTTATGATACAAAAGAAATGTGGGGTAATAGCAAACACACCCCAGATAGTTTAAGCAAATTTCCTGAAAGTTAGCCAATAGAAATTTGGAACATTGTCTAAGTAACACATTAGATTCTGTAAAAGTGATATTTGATTTGATTTGTTTATAATATAAAGTCTTGTATTAGTAGACACATCGATTAATAAAATAAAGTATATTATGCCACCACTTGGATCAATCCCTCATTATTACTCATTTGGACTCTTAATAATCACCTGTCTCAAACACTTTTTCTTAAATGTATTGAAAACATCACTACTGAAATAGCTTCCTCAAGTGCAGCTATGATGTTACTTCTCCATGTAAACACCTTAATGAGTTCCCCATTTCCTATAAAATAAATCTAATTCTTTAGTTTGGAACTTACTGCTTCCCATAATATTATACAAACCCTACTATTTAGGTTTGTTTTCCATTGTATCCTTTGTAACACTCATCTTTAGTGGAAATGTTGTCTACATCCCATAGACAACTGACACTTTTACTCCTCTCTAACATTGCTCATGAAGCATTGTCTGCTTGGACCACGCCTCCCCTCTCACTCCCCCCCCGCCCCTTCCCTCATACACGTTTCCTCTTCTACATATTTTATTATTCTTTAAGGATCTATGAAATGACAGGTCTCCATGAAACCTTGGCCCAACACCAATATTTTTCTTAAACTTGTTGCTATATGTTGCATTTTAAGGAGTTTGTATAGCTCTATTCCCTATCAAATCATATATTTATTAAATAATAAATTTTATTTAATTTTAATTCACCCTACAGTACTTTGTAGATAAAGTATATGCAGGAAATATTTACTGAATGAACGAATAACATAATGTTTTGGCTTTATCTATGACTTAGGGCTCCTTGGAAGCAAACTCATATACTCATATCATAAGAGATGAAAAAACATAGGCTTTAATTCTTTACTTCCAGTTTAAACCTAATACCTGACAATAGGAAGTGAATGGCATTACTACTTGATACCACATGAATAACTCACCAGCTAATTCAGAATCAGCATGACATCTTTTACAAGAACAACAGCAGCAACAAAAATACATTACAAACCCCATATGTTTTATCCTTGTAGTGTATCTTTATTAGTCATGCCATTCCTTCAGTGTGATAGTTTAAATCTATAGACAAATATTTCCATAACAGTCATAAAAAAAAAAGGTGAGTATTTTAAGTTAGGACAAACCTAATTAACATCAAATTTGGGCAGCACTGGCACCAGATAATTGAACTGATAACTTGTAAAAACTTAAAATAGGACATAGTAGCTATCAGAGCCATAAAATACAAGTTGCAGCAAAATTAGATTTGCTTCTCCTTTTTGTAGGGTTAGCATATGGAAAATCACGGAAATATTATGTACCAAGTATATCTTGATTTCTTAGTTATTTAAAAGTGTTCTTTATGTACTGTAGAAATAATATAACAGCAATAAAAAAATAAAAGAGAAACAAATATTACCATCTAACACTAACTTCTTTTTTTCCCCTTTTTTTCTAAATTCCCTCCAGTTCTTTTTTTTTCCATTTATTTATTTAGTCACCAAACAATTGGTGAACACCTCTATATTTGATATAGAATATTTGAATTTTAATAGTTGTTTGACTTTCCTGATATCTACATGGATAAAATAGTAAATTATGACTTTAATGAGAGTGCGGCCAGATTAATTTCCAGTTTGTTAAATCATACCTAAAGGTTGTGGATTACTGATTTGGTATCAACCTAAAGTTTCTATTTTGGGCCCAATCCTCGTCGATATGTTCATCAGTCTTAAATGTTGAAAGAAGTAATGCTTTCTCATCAAATGTGCAGATGTGCAGATGAAACAAAATTGTGGGTGATAAGTAATATCAGAGATGATAGAAACTAGAATTGAATTCTACTCTCATTATCATGTCATAAGCCACAGGAATGATGTCTACATTGTTGATAATGATATTGATGGCAGCTAATGCTTTCAAAAGAGAACTGATTATGTATCAGTCATTGTGCTAAATATTTTGCCAACTTTATTTAATTCTCACCAAAATTTTAGGATGAGGCGATCATTTCATAGATGAGGAAATGAAGGTGAAATTGGCTAGGTAACAAGCTAATGAGGAGCAAAGTCAGAGTTCTTAGTCTGATCTTCTGACCATAGAACCCGTGTTGGTTTTTCTTCACCTTCCTGTAGCTGAGTATACCTAGAAAGCTCTCTTGAATTTCTCAGTGTTTCCCCAATTCTCAATTCATTCTGGAAGGTTTGTGCACGCTATATTTATACATCTGAGCCTCCCTGACCTTTAATATGAAAAGCAAAAAGGATAGATTCACACAGAACTCTCTGTGTAGATGCACTGAACACTTCAGCTAACTTTCTCACCTTTCTCAGGAGATTCCTTTGTAATTTCATTCCTACTCCTTCCTGCTCTCCATCATCTGTATGGATGACAGTGGGGTCAGTCTCATTTCTTTAAAGTTTTTGACTATTTACTTTTTTTTTT